CTGACAGCCACCTTCCCCGATTCTGCTTATGGAGATCTTAATTTAACCCTTTCCTGTGCAAATTACTTTGATTCTTTAGTTTCTACAATAAGAAGTGATTTCAGCATATCCATCGAGTGTAAAACAACCTTTTGCTGATCTTTTTTTGTTTTGTTTTGTTAATCCTCACCCAAGGATATTTTTCTATTGATTTTTAGGGAGAGAGAGTGACAGAGAAACATCAAAGTGAGATAGACACATCGATTGGTTGCCTCCTGCATGCACCCAGCCAGGGCCAGGGAACCTGCAACCAATTTATGTACCCTTGACTGGAATCGATCCCAGGACCCTTCAGTCCTCGGGCCGACACTCTAGCCACTGAGCCAAACTGGCTAGGGCTTGCTCATCATTTTTATAGTAATACTAGTGGCCCAGTGCACGAATTTGTGCACATTGAAAGGAAATTAATTAGAAGAAATATTTGAATATTGCTGTTCACCCTTTCTCTATAATAGAAGTGTTAACCAAAATCACGATAGACAGTGACAGATCGAAACACACGCATGTGATTGGCACCAGCAAGAGCTTTACATATATATAGATAATGCTTAATTAGACCTGCTTTCTGATTTAGCTAAACTTTCTCCAGCCCAGTGAAGCACCCCAACTTCTATTTCAGGTAATTGTCAGCAACACAGCAGGAAATATCAACATGAAGCAGATTGTTATTGTAGATCATGCAGGGAGAACAAAGGGTAAAATATTTAACTGCAGCAGTGCTTGACTCTATTCTGCGCAGTGAGAAAACCTGACGTCATTTTCAAGGTCCACCATTTCTTACTTCTTTTCAGTCGGGTAAAGTTTTTAAACTTCCTAAATCTTTCCAGCTAATTAAAAGAAAATAGGATTCTACTGAGTCTCCTATCTACCTACTCCAGGACTTCTGTCAGGATCAAATGAGATGAGGCATGGGAAAACACTTCACAGACATTTGATTAAATTGTGAAATATTTCCACCTGGCTATAAAGCAAGTCATCTTCCTGGGCTGAAGAAACTGCAAGGAGTCTAGTCGCTAGGGAGAGGAAGCCAGGCATTGCTATGTGACATCATTACCCGGCGCCCACAGCCACCGTTTTGGGGCCGCATTTTGCACCATGGGGTCCCGGAAGCATCAGTTACAATTTGGTGGGGTGGGTGTCATTCCGGGGTGGTGGCAGGGCCTGTGTCCCACTTGGGAGAAGCCAAGTGTTGCTTTGTGGGCACCACGTCCACAGTGCCATTTCTCTGTGCACATCACAGCAGCACCAGTTAGACACTTAGCATATTAGCCTTTTATATATATAGACTAGTGACCCGGTGCACGGATTCGTACACATTGAAAGGAAATTAATTAGAAGATGGCCAGTGGGGAGGGACTGGGCAAGACAGGCCGGAAATGCCCTGGAGCCAACCTCCCGTGGTCCCTCCCCGGCTGGCTGCACCTGGGGTGGCGCCGTGGCTGGAAGGGTGTCTGCATAGTGAGCAGGGTCCCTCTGGCATGTAGGGTCCCTTGGCCTGGCCTGTGGGGATCAGGCTGAAACCAGCTCTCCAGTATCCCCTGAGGGGTCCCAGGGTGCGAGAGGGCGCTCTGCAAAGTTGCTGTTGTGCAGGGTGTGGAACGCAAACACAAGTGTGCAGTAAACCAGATTCAGGGCCAACAGTGCCCCAGCAACAACATAATCCACAGCCAAAGGTGGAATCACGTGGCCCCACGAGGAATCGGGATCCCTCCTCTCTGGTTTTGGGGTGCGTCATCCGAGAACTGCTGCTGCCAAGTCACTGCAGCTCTGCAGCTCCTGCATTGAGCATCTGTCCCCTGGTGGTCAGTGCGCATCATAGCTCCGGTCGGACAGTTGGACACTTAGCATATTAGCCTTCTATATATAGAGATACGAAGCAAACATCGAGAGAAAGAGAATTGAATGAAAATACTCACTTTTTTATTACTGGCCTCTGAAGTAATATATTATTCATCATAGCACATTTTTCCTGTGTATAACAGGAATTCTAGTAAATAAAATGGGAATGTTTATGTCAAGGCTCCTGCACCAAGACTGGGTTATGTGGCTCCCAGGTGCAGACATCATTGATGAGTCAGTGAGCTAACAATTTTGCATGAAGGAGAGTTGGATGAGCTACCAATTCACTTTTAATGATTGTGTAATGTATCTTTGGATATTTGATAAATTTTTTAATGACCAACCTCCTATTGGTAGACATTTAGCTTGGTTGTAATATTTTCATGCTACAAACAATATTTCAGTGAAGTCTGCTTTATATACTTGAACTTGCAGGATAAATTCCTAGATCTGGAATTGCTGGGGTCAAACAGTGTGCATTATTTATTTTGACGGACATTTTCAATTACCCCCCCAGAAGATAAATTATTTACAGCTCCATGAACAAAGTTTAATCACAATAAAAATTTTATTTTTCCAATGACCAAGATTTTCTCTTCCCTTCCCACAGTTTAGATACCTAAGAAACCAAAACTGGAAGATTTATAATGAGCATAAACTGAAGCCACCGGAGCTGCATGGCCATGGGAGGTTTTCAGACAGGGCTCTTCCCCTGCGTCACCAGGCTCTCCTTCTCCAAGATATCCCAAGTTTCTCTCTCTCTCTCTCTCTCTCTCTCTCTCTCTCTCTCTCTATCTCTATCTCTTTTCCTCCCTCCCTCCCTCTCTTTTTTGTATCATGATTGATAAAAATCAGCAAACTCAGATATCTCTTTTCAAGACTCCATACCCGTAGATGGTCCCTTATCAGTATGTCCTCATCATTACATTATCTTTCTTTTTTTAACAACATGCAATTATTCTATTATACAGAGATTATGATTATTTTGTAGGTATTACATTTGAATTTGCTTGATTATACATTACATGTGAGGGTATAATCCTTCAGAAATATAAATGTCAAAAGGATTATTTCCAAACATATTTTCTAAAATATAGTAAGTCTGTCATAGGTTTATGAATTCTTAGCAGTAGCACTTTCTAGTTCTTAAGGGTTTGCTTTTTCCTGTCACTTAAGTGTTGTCTTGTTTTACACTCCTAGGCCTGTCTGTGTTTGGGTCAATAGCCAAATCTGCTCTGATTACCATTAACTGCCCAATAAATTATTATAAAATGTTTTATGGATAGAATACTTTGTAAAAGCTACCAGTGATATTCCGTCCCTGGATTTCCTAACGGGTTACTAGTGAGTCATGTGTTAGGTAGAATTGGTGATTGAATTACATGACTATGTCTAGTAAATATACATTGAGCATGTAGTGTTAGGTTTTGTTGTTTCCAGGAATCTCTTGACAATTGCTTCATGATTTAAATGGTATTTATTGTAACTATTAGATGCTTCCCATTTAATTTTGTGGGTAATTTGGTCACTGCTTTAGCCAGTAGCATGTTCTTTATTCACTGTCATCCTTTTGTTCTCTATTTTCATGTGTCGTCTATGCAAAGAAAGTCAAAGTAATCACCAGCTATTTATGTTATTAGAAGGAACTAAATATTTTATAACCCTGAAAGGCCAGTATAATTGGAAGAGGAAGTGGGAGTTGAGGTTAATTGGAGAAATTTTATTAGAAAACAGTGGATATTATTTTTTTACCCCTTCAACAATGTCTTAGACTGTTAATTATTGTAATCAGTATGATAAATTGTGGTAATTTGCTATGCTCTATGAATAATACATTAACAGATTTAGGATCACTCCTTCACTTTCTGTACAGAAATTTCTTTTCTTAACAAATATTTTTATTAAAAATATTTTCCTAGTAACCTTAACCTTAGAATAAGTTCTATGCATTATCACTAGTGGGTATGATATACTTATTAGTCTATAGGAAACATGTTTTAGATTTCTAAATAGGATATCATTTTTTCCTCACTGGTTCCATTTTTACCTTCAAATTAAAATTTGTGAAGGTTTGTATGTAAGCAGTTTGTATGTAGCAAATGATATAATTATTTGGAGTGGGGTGCATGTCTCTAAAGTTTATTCTAAGAAAAAGAATAATGTTCTTATTCAAAAATTTCACTACAGAACAGGGTTAATAGGCTTTTTATTGACTAATCTAGGGTTCTAACTACTATTTTTTGTTGTTTAATCCTCACATTGATTTTTAGAGAGAGTAGAAGGGAGGGAGGGAGGGAGGGAAAGAAAGGAGAAGAGAGAGAGAGAGAGAGAGAGAGAGAGAGAGAGAGAGAGAGAGAAGCATCAATGTGAGAGAGACACATTGTTTAGTTGTTTCCTGTATGTGCCCCAACCAGGGCTGGGGATCAAACCTACAACCTAGGTATGTGCCCTTGACCGGGAATCGAACCCACAACCCTTCAGTCACGGGCCAACATTCATTGGCCAGGACTCTAATTACTATTTATTATGCATTTCTGGATGAAATTTTTTTGTGTTCCAAAAAGTTACAAATTTTAAAACAACAGTTGACACAAAACTCATTCCAAAATTGAGGACTAATTCTATTTTAAGTGTTTCTTCTGGAATTACATACTGAATAATTTTTATTTTGTACTGGGAGGGTTGTTTTTTACCAGTCTCTTTAAAAATGTAACTTTCAGTAATACTTAATGTATGTTATACTTATTCTTAGATTTTAAGTTCTCTTTAAAATGATAGAATGAGTCTAGATTTCAAATGTAGTTGCTATATTTTATCTATCTCTCTATGTGCCAGGAGTGTATGACTAAGGAGGAAGAATCCTTTTAATTATATTATAATGGTAAAATTGTTTCTGTGCTTTGGAATAAGCCACCAAAAAGATAAAACAATTAAACTTCTCCCTATCTGCCCACCGGAGCAAAGAGCTGACGGATGTATGATGCCTTGTCAAACATTATCAGCTGCATTGAAAAGAAATGAAACTGCAGAGTCAGTACTTATAAGAGAGAAGACCCAGAAGACCTACCTGCTGGGACTCATGCTGCCACTGGGAAACTGACCTGTTTGTGTTTTTATTTCAGTGACGTTGTATGCCTCCTGTATTCTCCTGGGAGTGTTCTTGAATAGCAGTATACCTATATTTTTTGAGCTGTTTGTGGAAACTGTCTACCCAGTTCCAGAAGGAATTACTTGTGGAGTTGTCACTTTTTTAAGTAATATGTTCATGGGAGTGCTTTTACTTTTTCTCACATTTTATCACAAAGGTAAGAAATTTGCCTTCTTGATTATTATCTAAACTAGAGGCCCGGTGCATGAAATTCGTGCACGGGGCGGGGGTGTGTCCCTCAGCCCGGCCTGCACACTCTCCAATCTGGGATCCCTCTCTCAATCCAGGACCACTGGTTCCTAACCACTCACCTGCCTGCCTGCCTAATGCCTCCAACTGCCCTCCCCTGCAGGCCAGTTCACCCCCAACTGCCCTCCCCTGCTGGCCTGGTCGCCCCCAACTGCCCTCCCCTGCCGGCCTGATCGCCCCTAGCCCCCTGCCAGCCTGATCTTGCCCCTAACTGCCTTTACCTCGGCCCCCACCACCATGGCTATGTCCGGAAGGAAGTCAGACGTCCAGAAGATGGCTGTTTCACTGGTCTAATTAGCATATTACCTTTTTATTAGTATAGATGTGTTATGAGAGGGGTTTGTGGCACTGCTATATAGGGAATTTATATGGAGAATTTTCATTAAGACCAATTACTTTAGTTGAACTTTTACATACTAATAAAAGAAAATACCTTCAGTGTTTGTTTTTTTAATGCATCCTAACCTGATCTAATGTGCCCTTACCCCCCTCCTCGAATTTCTGATTTAATTAACCTGGACCAGGGCCCAGCATTTATAATATTTATAAATTCTAATATGCAGGTTCCCATTGAGAACCACTGGTTTATTACTTTAAAGAATATTTAGAATCTCCTATCTTAACAGAGGTATATATTAATGTCAGGGGTACATAGTTTAAAGCCTTAGAATGAATGAGAGGTCACCCAAGGATTGTATAGAGTGTATAGAACAGCACTGTCCAAACGGAGCTTTTTATGATAATGAAAATGTTTTTATCTACACTGTCCAGTACAGTAGCCACTGGCCACATGAAGCTAGTGCAGCTAAGGAACTGGATTTTTTATTTCATTTTAATTAATTCAAGTTTAAGTAGCTACTCATAGTCATGCAAGTATAGAGTGAAAAGAAGGTTGAAGTTAGGACCCAGGGGTACACATTTGAAGAAGAAGGAAATCTGTACAAAGGAGGAAGGGATGGAGTCCTGAACCCAAGTAGAGTATTTGCCTTGCACAAAAGGAGATAGGAGAGAAGGCTGTGTCAATGGGCATGGAGGCAGATACCTTTGCTGGGCAGAATATTGAAGGAGTTCATTCTAGATGGCATCACCGTTCTGCTTAGAAGCCAGTTCATCTATTAAGAGTTGGTGGGAAGAAGGTGGAGAACAGGCTTCAGGAGAGAATGAAATTTTCACATAACCTTTGAGGGGTGGGAGGAGGCGCTATGGGGACAGCTGGAGAGGTTGCGGGGCATGTTGAAGCAGGGCCACTGGTGTTCGGGTTCGTGGTTTGTATTTTTCTGTACAGTTGTTTGGTTTTCTCTGATGTTCTCTCTTCTGCAATCCAAATTCTGTTTTACTGTTTTCAGAAAATTTGGGCATAATTATCTAGAATTGTTTCTGCATGTTAAAATAAGAACTCATGCTTGTGACTACTTGAATAGAAAGCTTTTATTAATTTCTACTAGATTTATGTCCCATTTTATTTCTCATCTTAATCAACCTAATATTACTACCCTCCCACACTCTAGTTGCTATTCTCTTACTACTCATCAAATACCAGTAAATGTGAATAATTTGTACATGGAAGAATCTTTAAGATTCAAATGTAAGAAATGCTCTAAAATGCGTTGCTCCAAGAGGCCTAATTGTTTATAGGAAGCTTTCTGACAAGCTTATAATTGAAATTGTAGCCACGATAACCTGCTTACCTGGAAAAGACATTTTTGAAACTTTCAAAGCTGATGAAATAGAATTTGCCCTAAGTTTTGGGCAACTTTCGGCATCATACTTTCACTTAACAGCAAAAAGCATACACACGATATATTCACTTCTGATTATAATTAACAACAAACTAGATTATTTCTGTCAGTCAGTAATGCAGGTAAAGTAGGTTTTAGCTTTGCTAAACCTGATGTGTGCTTGGTTTATCAGATGAAGGAGAGTGACGTCAGTGACGTCAGACCACTCCTGACTGTCCTGGAAACGTGTGTTTCCTTTAGAGAAAATGCCGTCACCACCTACTGGACTAAGGTGTTTGCTTCCAGGGAGTTTTCTAAACAGAACCACCTGATAATTACCATCTATCAGCTTTAATCTACTTCAGTTATGTCACAGTGCAGTTAAGAGGCTCAGCACCTCTCTTTTGCCAGGTAAAGTATCAAAGATGGCTGTGTTGCCTCTCCGGGTGATAGAAACAATTTTCCAGCTCATGGGCACAGGTTTGGTAGTGATCCTTGCAGCCCAGTAGAGCGTGGTTTTTCCTGTCTGCTGGAAATAGAGTTCTGTCCTCCCAGTATTTAGAAACAACAGTCGATGCCAGATATTGTTTCCCCCAATAACCCTCTTGTGTGCAGTCTCTGGACTGTAACACGTATTTATTGATCAGTTTAGGGCAGGGAATATCCTTACACTGTCTGACTGGAAGAGCCTAGGGCACTCCTGACCATTTGCTTGGCCAGCAGAATATCCCTGTCACGCCCGAGATCCTGACACTCCCCCAGTGCTTGTTTTGTTTCCTTCCAGATAACTAGCTGGTTGGTATTAGTAGTTTAAATATCTAGGCTTCTATTTTAAAGAATTACTTTTATATATTTGTTTTTGAGGGTGTCTATTGAAGGCACACAAACATACCCTACATCTCTCTGAGGCTGCAGTCCTCAGAACTAGGAAAACTGTGTTGAGAATCTTACACATACAATTAATTGGTATTGTCCCAAAAGTCCTGCAGCAAAAGTTCACGTGCCTTATAACTGAGGCATGATGATACAGAAATTGCAAGTCTCAAAATTCTGTAAAATTATTTCCTAAAAATATCTTTTAGCTCCACAGCCTAGTACCCTCGACAGTTTTTATGATACATTGAATTCCCTTCCATTAGAGCCAGTGTTCAAATGTCATCATTTAGTCATTTTAAAACTTGAAAAATTCACCCAGAAGTTAAGTTTGTATGTCAGAATTCAGCTGTTAGTTACATGATTGGAAGGCCAGCTTTTTAATCATCATCAAGATCTGCGGCTCTTTAGGTCTCCTCTCAAAGAAGCACTGCACTTCCTGCCTGGAGTTCTGTCTCCCACAGTGTGCTGCCCAGTAGGCGATTACGTCAGACAGTTTTTCAGGGCGTACAGACCAGCCTGCAGTGAGCCCTTTATACGGGCTTGCCCAGCAGGAAAGGCTCCACTGGCGATTAGCTTGCAGCTCACGGCCATCGCCACCCTCAACAGCAAATGTCACTCAGGCTCCTATACCGAGGCACTGGAGCCCGGGGTCACAGGGCTCCCCAGGTCCTGTTTTGATTCTGCTTTGGGTACCTGGGACCGTGTCAGAAGTTTCTTAGAGTTGTTCTGACCTGGCTTTTTCATGGTCACTTTAAAAAAATTGTTACATGCTCCCTAATATAAGCATGTTTATAAAACTCAGTTGTTTCCTATAATATTTGCTTTGAGAATCTCAGTGAGTTATTTCACACAGCACAGTGATTCTTTCCTTTAATAACTTCACTTACAGCATCATTAGGGAGTGCTCTTACATTCTTTATATGCTCTGAAATGTATTCCAACGTTCTATTGTATGATTTGTAACTTATTCTGCAGTTCGTTTTATCTGGTTTGTTGTTGTTGTTCTAGAAGCTTCGCAGCAGGTTTTGGCAAAAGCCTTAAAGTTTGTTGTTGTTTTTTACCTCAGTCCTTTCATTTTTGAAGCAGCTGACCATGAATTTGAGGCTACGATGTGGCTCAAAAGATTCAAGGGTCTGGCTGAGGTGGGAGGCATTGACTAGTGGTTACAACAGCTTCAGCATATGTGGGCCTGTGAGAAGTATTCTGACATCTAAGGAGTAAAATCAGGCAGTGTGTTTGATGGTCAGATCTGGTGGGTAATTTACGTGGAGCGAAGGGAGCAGGGTGTTACTCTGTGTGTGAAATCATGTCAGCTGGATCCTCACAAATGAGAATGGAGACAGTTTTGCTAAATCATCTGGTTAAACCACCAAAAACAAATAGAAGGCTCATTCTGGAGGGTGGTATCTGGATTCAGAAAAGTACCTGAAGGTGGTAGAGACGAAACCATGGCATCATTGAATGGAAAGAGCAGGTGGAAAGCACAGTAGTACTTCTGGTAGAAAAAGGTGAAAGGATGAGCAAAACCCTAATTAGTTTGGTCCCAACAGAGCATCACCATTTGGTGCAGAGCCACTACACCGAGTGAAATATAGCACCTGTCCAAACTGTAAATTGGCAGAGAGCCTCAGGTTACAGTGTACGTAATAACTGACAGAGAACCAGCAGAAGCAGAGAGGCGAATTGTGGAGCCTGGAGTATAGATCTGTATTTTCTATAGTTAAGGACAAAGGGAAGGCATGTTAGAAAACCGTGCTCACTTTAAAAGATTTAAGGATAAGAATAAGCAAATCCAATGGATTAGGACTCTGTTGGCTCATTTGGGTCCTATGACATCTGGCTCGAAAGGACAGCAGTTGACTTTGCGACTGCTAAGTTAAATGACACTTTTACACAAATCATTTCCTGATTGTTAGAGTGCCTACATTGTGGTTTATGTGAGTGGCTTCCGGTGGGAAAATGTACAGGCGCACGTCCCTGACCTTTTGCTTTCGTAAAAGGCAAAGAATTTCAAAGAACACTTATAGTTACTGAGCCAAGTGGGTTTGACTTTTCAGAGAGAAGCATAATAGTAAACATGAACCAACCCACCATGACACTAAAGAGTAATGATGAGGCATTTTTAAAGACTTCATCTGAATGTAGGTAGAAGGAAGAATTTACAACTCTGATAAACTAGAAGGTCCACTTTGGAAATATTTGACCAAGTTTTGCTTAGTATTGACAAAGTTTTGCTTTGGCAAACACTTAGCTAGGTTTAAGAAGAGCAAGGACAAGTTGATTGTTACTGCATGTATGTTTGCTCTAGCTCCCCATAAAAAACAGCTGAAAATTTTTCCTTAAAGTCACAATACTCACTACAAATGGTATGATGTTGTCAACTGTTTTGCTTCTTTTTCTCTTCTTATTTTTTTACTGCTTTTTTTTTGCCTGTTAAAATTAACATCAGAAATCCAGAATATGGTTAATATTAAAGCAGAAGACACCGGGTGTGTCATTTCAGGGAATATCAGAATAAAGACAAGATCCCAGAGGTCACAGCCTCTCTGAGTGTTCAGATTATATTCAGCCCAAGTAAAGCACAGAAAACGGCTTTGCATGAAATATGATTGAAATACATGCCTTTGTTACATGCCATATAATAGCATGTCTGACTTAAAATGTAGAAATTGAGAGGTAAGGAGGTGGCTTTTCTGAGCATATTACAGAAAAAAAGTATTTCAGCACCTTCTCTTACCCGTTGGTTTTTGGGTTTCCATTCCTGAGCATAAATTGCTCTTTTAGCCATATGAATTATGGATTAAACTGTGGGCATCTTTAGGATGATTCTTGAAGATTAGGGCAGTATTAGCATTCGGTAGAAGTACAAAGGGAAAATATAAACCGATAGCAGTGCCCAAAGAAAAGATGTCCCAGGGAACTTCTTTATCTCATTTGCTGTTTCTTTTTCAGTATATTTTATTGGTTTTTTTACAGAGAGGAAGGGAGAGGAATAGAGAGTTAGAAACATTGATGAGAGAGGAACATCAACCAGCTGCCTTCTGCACACCTCCTACTGGGGATGTGCCCGCAACCAAGGTACATGCCCTTGATCGGAATCGAACCTGGGACCCTTCAGTCCGCAGGCTGATGCTCTTTCCACTGAGCCAAATGGGCTAGGGCCATTTGCTGTTTCTTTAAATTAAAAATGCTACATGGATATTAAACTATAAAAGTTATCCCCACCACTGCCACCAACCTCTTTATGCCAAGAAGCTGTGCACTTCTGCACCCAGCACCTCAGGATCGACTGGTAAAGGGGTCGGGATAGGAGAAGGCTGAGCAGATGCCTCACTGAAGAGCCACTGGAGCCGGAGGAACAGCTGGCAGCAGCATGGTGGGCTGGTGTGTATTCATAGCGAGAGGCCCAGGATTGTCCTGTTGGCAAGTCCTGAATTCAGGATCAAGCCTTTTTGAAGAAGCATGTTCTTAATTCCATTAAATCAGCTCATAACAGAATTGTCTGTTTAGGTCAGTGGTCGGCAAACTGCGGCTCTCGAGCCACATGCGGCTCTTTGGCCCCTTGGTTGTGGCTCTTCCACAAGATACCACGTGCGGGCATGCATGTACAGTGCGATTGAAACTTCGTGGCCCATGCGCAGAAGTCGGTATTTTGTGGAAGAGCCACACTCAAGGGGCCAAAGAGCCGCATGTGGCTCGCGAGCCACAGTTTGCCAACCACTGGTTTAGGTGATTCTTGTAGGTTTTCTGGTAATTGGCATCATATGTAACTATACTGATGCCAGCAGGAAAAAGGAAGAAATAAATAAGCCAACATATGCACAGTAGTTTCTGTGAGGGTAGAATTAGGATTAATTTTTTGTTTTTCTTTAATTTTTATATATTTTCTCATCTGTTTTACAGTGAATTACTACTTGATGTTTTTGCTGAGAATTAGATGTTTCTATCCAAAAAATAAAAGTGTTATTTCAAAGTTCAGGTGATGTTCTTATTTGTTTTTCTAATCCAGCAGCTATTTCTAAATAAGGACAAAAGTGAGAGTGATAGAGGGCCCTTAAAAATAATTAACAAACTAACATTTAAAGGTGATTGATTTTTTTCTTTGAAGTTAATAGATTCTTTTTTGCCACCAAAGTCAAGGTGGATTAAATTGATGAAAACTTATTAACAAAGTGATTAAAAATACTCCACATGAAAGCCCTGTAGTATATTACATGCATCACTTAGACCCCAGACTCTCTCTGTTTATTGAAAGCCATGCCAGGCCTTCCAGGGTGAGTTTATCGTAAGTGCTTTTGAATGCAGAGCAGCTTGCTCCCGGCCTACAGGGGGCATTCTGCTGGTGACACGTGAATGCTTACAACTGCGTGTTTTTGTCTTACAGAGTTGTCTTGGTTCAACTGGTGCCTTCCCGGGTCGTGTTTGCTCAGTCTCCTCCTCATTCTGTGCTTCAGGGAATCCTACGACAGACTCTATCTTGATGTGGTTGTCTCCGTGTAATAGCACAGACTCGAAGGAGTTTACAGAGAGACTGGAGATCCATTCTGCATCCTGCACATTTGCTCGGAATTGCACACCTGACGGATAAAAAGGAGAAGACAGAAAATTCATTCAGAGGTCTTGTGAAGTTACTGGTGATCACATTAATTTAATTACTACTAGGTAATGACAATGTGGGACTCAAATGATAACCGGGGATTTAAAAACTCTCTAAATGGCATGCTTGTGCCCGCTGCTGGGGTTGGCAGTGTGCTGTCTTACACACAAGGCACTACCTAAATAATTCCCTCTGCTCTGTGCCAGTGCCACACTGCTGATGGATCCATTGTTACTATGAAAAGAAATAAAGGGCGTCTATCACATGGAGATAACGCCTTCCCTAAGGGACATATCAGAATAGGAAGAAATGCCACTAACTTCTAAAGAAGTTTAAACCTTATATCCGATTTTAATAAAAAAACAGCCAACAGGTATATCCAGAATAGAAATTAGCCCCATGTACACTACATTTTTTTCTAATAAAGTCATTTCTTCTATGACTCCTTATTTTTAACTAGAGGCCCAATGCACGAAATTCATGCAAGGGGCTCTGCCCTCACAGCCATGGCAGCTTGCCTCGGCCCTCGCAGCCTCGGCTACGTCTGGAAGGTCATCCGGAAGGATGTCCAGAAGGTCATTCGGCTGTCTGGTCTAATTAGCATATCACGTTTTTATTATTATAGATTAGGTCAGAAACCCCTGGCCATCTTATTATGGTGACCAACCGCTTTCCAGTGACTTCAGAACACACACTTTGTGTCTCAACCTAAAGTTATCCTTGTTTCTGTGAAATACAGTTTCATCTATTAGACTCTTAAATGATTATATTAAAGGTGACTAAACGTTTAATGTAGCCTCATTAAAAATTGTATGACAAATATAATTCCATTCTGATTTAGCACTTTGTTAAAAGAGAAATGACAAATCACATAGGACATTCTATATCTTCAGGTGTGTGTGTGTGTGTGTGTGTGTGTGTGTGTGTGTGTATCAGATATTATTTACAGGGGTTACATTTTATTAAATGACCTTTGTTTGAAAATAACAATTTATAACATTGAAACTTCTGTTAATTACATTTTTGTATTTCAATTCAGGTTGAAAAATATTCATTTCTATATGGAGTCGATGTATTTGAGAGGGCAGTATTTTGCCGGTACCCATTTTCTGTGTACGGAGGATAGCTTTGTAAAAAATAACAGTAACTCATTGAACAGCTCTCAGACATGTACTTCACTGTCACATAAAATATGCTCTGGTGGGATTATTACCACCATTCACATTTACATAATTCCCCTCACACAGGAAAACCAAACATTTCCCCCAGAAGTCAAGAGTAATACTTTGCCTTCATTATTCTCAGTTTCATTCAACCCTCTTTCCTTTTTCCTCACTTAAAATTGTGTCTTCCTTGTCAGCTAAATATAACTTATATTTGTCTTTTTTTGGGCAGACAAGGTGCAAGCCAGCTCTTTCTGTTAGCCACAGCGGTGACGTATGGTTAAGGAAAGCTGGTCAGCACTTAATTACTCATCTCTCCATGTGCACATATACCGTCACACACACTCATCCATAGTTCCAACTCTTAGTAAGTTCAAAGCTATTTATTAACTCACCTCGGTCCCGGAGGAAGATTCTATTACTTCTGAGCCTTCTTCTAAAATCCTAAATTGTGCAACTTGGAAAGTTTCTAACAAAAACCCTGAAATTTAACATCTGTAAGTCACCTTTAAATCATCTCCCTTTTATAACCACTCTGCTGACTTAGCAACAAGAAACAAAGGAACTAAGGAAGTTGCTGAAAAGTAGAAGAAAACCCATGAAAGCTAGACTTATTTCCAATGAATTCGATCATTCTTCTTAAATAAAAATAAAATAAAACCAGAATTCTTTAAGATGATTGAAAGGCAGCCACTAAGGATATCAGAACCTAAATTAACCACCAGCCCTTCTATTTAGAAAGAAGATAGAGAGCAGAGGGAAGAATTCTTAAGTATTTGGTTTTAGTCAGACTGATTGTGTTTGAAGATGTTGCTGTATAAAATTTTGCTGTAATGCTTCTGATATACTAGTAGAACATTTTCATTATGGTTAATTCTAGTTTTAACACAAAGTAAAGAATAACACTTATTACCTAAATGACTAATTAGTTAACAGCTCATTGGTTAATTCAACATCTCAAGTGAGTAGTGATTAAAAGTTCTCGCATGTGCCAGACACCAGCCATTGTTTTTAGCATGAGATGAGCCCCTCTGTCTCATTTATATCCACTTACCACTCCAGCAGATCATTCATTGTTCTCAACACAAATTGCAGCTGTTTTAAATGATTAAAATTTCATATACCAAATCTGATAGAAAGAGAACCAAAAAGCTTTGGAGTGGGGGAGGATTACACACTATTTATTTACCTGAATATTTCAAATCATATTTTTTTATCTTTGTTTTTATTTCTAGCTTGCATTAAAATAGGCCAGCTGCTATCTTTGCACTTTCTAAACAAATGTTATAGAATCCTAATGAAATTTTGTAACTGAAAGAAATCTTAACTTTCCACTAACCCAAGCCTTCATTTTAGAATTTGTAGAAACAGTCCCAGAGAGGTCAAGGATCTTGCCAAAGGTCACACTCTTAGTGACAAAAGTAGAACTAAAACCCACATCTTCTGACTTCTAAATACTTTTTTCCTACCTCACAGAATTGCAGCTTAATTTGGACACTTGGGGGAGTTTATGAATACTCTTCCATGTTCACAAACAATGGGGCTTAAGAGTAAACTGCCATTATTTTGTGTGGAAAGTACAGGGATTAAATTGAGGTGATTATTTGGTTTTTAAGTGAAATCATTCTATTTTCTTCTTCACTCTCCAGTTGGTGCTCTAAGTCTTAGTTTGCAATGACATGATACAGAAAGATTCTGATGAATAATTCAGTCCTCATAAACCAAGTCCACAACATTATTAATTGGTAAGGACATGTTATAGTCTAAGTTCCCTGTGGCTTACCAATGAACACTTAGTCTATGGGAAGACACATTTTTTAATATGGTCCATGATGGAGGAATAGGAATAAGACAAGTACACACATTTCCCTGGAGGATAGAGCTAATAAAAAAAATTAAAAGAGGGAATCCATACAAGTATAATCTTATATAGTTAAGCTCATATGGCCTAAGGGCCAAATTTTATCATAGATCTCATATTCATGTTTAATTATTGAGAATGTTTACAACTTGTTGTTGATGAAGCTCTTCTAATGAAGGATTCAAGCTAAGAGCTTTTAAATTGAAGAGGTTAAATTCCCATCTACTTATCTTTTAATTAGTTTTTGTTGCTATTATATTTATTAAAATCTAGGCATTCACCCTGCTGTTTGCATATGTACAAGCTTCATTTTAAGATCCAATACAAATGCATAGTAAATTTGCTTTAATGTTAACAACCACATTTAATTCCATATTTGTCCCTGAAATAATAAATAAAGGAATTACTATGATTATGCCATATTATCAAGCAAGTGCAAAAGCTGTGATAGGAAGAAAGTGCCGTATTAAAAAAGAAATATATAGAAAACTGTGAGAAAATGTTATCAGACCTGTTTGACCTAAATATAGGAAAACTAGAATTCCATTCTAATTGGGAATTATGCAGAAAGAAGAAAGATAAAGTTTATTTCCATAATATCAAACAGTTGCTACTCTGTTAGGAAATAGAAGCAATACTTTGGGGAAAGTGTTGGACCATCCTAGAAGAACAAAACTTGACAGGCAGGAGAGGGGATTTCCTTCTAGCAGCATCCATCAGGTAAGCAGGCATCATGTTGGCCACCCGGAGCATTCATTTCCTTTCAGGAGTTCTCCCAGCTCAGATGGAACCTCAGAGTCAGGAGGTGAACAATACCAAGGCCCTTGAAAGGGTCACTTCTGGCCAGGGGATGGGAAGGATAGAGGCTGTGGGCAGTCTCTCCCCTGAACCATGCTTCTTTTTATAACCACTTTCAGTTTGTTCTGGGGCAGGACAGAAACATCAGCCTCTTGTTTCACCGAACAGTTTCTCCACTGTCCTCATTGCCTGGCACCTCAGCTTTCGAACGCTTGCGTGAATCAGACCTCAGCTCCATCCCTGCGACTCCTAGGTGCCCGCTTCCTTGAACTGACTTCCTGGCTCAGGCTTCTTCACGCCCTCTACCCCTCCCTCAGCTCCCAGGCCAAAGTCCCAGGCTCAGTCCTGACTGGTAGTAGACCTCCCTTTCCTGAAAGGATGCTAACGTGACTCAAACACAAGTAAATCCAGGTACTCCAGAAAGATTTAGCAATTTCTAGGGTCAAGGCTCATAAGTTAGACTGTATCCCTGAGATGAGAATTACAGAGGTCTCTAACAACTTTCTATACTTGTTATTTGCTGCATTTTAGAATACGGACATTAGATTGCCTTACATTGTCCTTTTGTTGTGCTTTGGAACTTGGTGGGCCTCAAACAGTAACTTTCCATCGCAGCCCTTACTGAGAAAGAGCAGAAAGTTAGCCCAGCCCACCTGCTGTGGTCATTCAACAAGGGGGCAGTGAAGTAAAATTTTAAAAAACACAGCTAAAAAATGAAACAAAGCACAGAATTCATTTCAGCAACTTTGATAAAATGATTTAAAACACACACACACACACACACACATACATACACGTCAAACTCTTCTAGATTAAACACGCTGGGCTTGGTACATGTTGAGGGTTGGGGCTCCAGAAGGACTACCAGGAGATCCACCCCACGTCACGGGCTCTCGGGGTTCCCGCCTGGCTCTTCCAGTTTAAAAGGGAAGCGGCTTCAGGCTCCACCAAAATGGCCAGAATGACTTGGAGATACTTTTAATTTACCTCAAGGTTAGAAAATGATACTTCTTTAAGAAACTACAGTTTAATTTGGACTTCCTGTAATTCAGATTGGCTTTCTTCCCATTTACCCAGAAGGATCATAGAATCAAAAAGATGATCTAATCCAACCACCTCATTTTACAAATAAGTAAAAATAGAACCTGAGAAGTTAATGACACAGCCAGGGCTTAGCAGGTCACCCACCTCCCAGACCAGCATTTCCCCCCATAAATGTGTTAACCAGAAGTAAATTCTTACAGGTAAACTGTTTTCATTTCTTTAAAATTTTTGAAAATTAAACAAGGAATACATGACTCTATGCTCATTGTAAAATTCTTAGTTCAGAAGTATAAAGTGAACCCTACAAACAAGTGCTGGCTAGTCCGTTCTCCTTTCCAGAGGTCATCCCTAGAAGCCTCTCAAATCTTTCTATTTTTGCAGTTTCCTACAAAGGTATAAACTTGGGATTTAAAATCAAGTGACCTAAGGAACTATTTCTCAGGCCACATTGGCATTAACTTTGGGCAGAAGCAGGAGTTTCTGAGATCCTTATCTGTCTCCTCATGAGTCTGTATCAAATGTCACAGTGGTTAATATTTAGCAGCATTTCACCGGCCTCATTATATACCATCAAGCTCTATCATATTCTAAAATTTAAAGATGAATTCCAATATGCAACATTCTGCTTTTCTTTTGGGAAATAGAGCTTCTGTTTTTAAGTCACCAACTAAGGTCTACATACTGTGAGGGAAGAAGATGAGTGACCCCCCAAAATCCAAATAGATTTCTTGACAGGGTTTCTTGGCTCCCCATCTCAGCAGAGGCACGGAATGCTGCAGAACGTCTGGAGGATGCGCTTATGTGATTCCACTTGCTCAAAATAATAGATAAGGAAGATTTGGTAACCCTTACTGTTTTCCTGATCGGCTTCCTCAGCTCTCCTATCTTTCCCACTAGCAGCGAAACTGATGAGCTGCAGCAGGACAAGAACTTAGCTTTGTGTGGTCATTTCCTTTCCTGCCTTCCCTCCCATCCAGCTGTCCCTTCTGGTTATGTTCTTACTTATTTCTGACTATGCTTGGAAGCAAGTTGTGTGAAACCCAGATTTTCTGAATTGCCCGCATCAGGGAGGCAAGCTGGCCAAGCAGTGTCTTAATGAACTAGAGCCAGTGGTTCTCAACCTTCTGGCCCTTTAAATA